CTTCTCTCCCACTTCACGCCTCAGAACGCACTGTTATTATAGAGAAAAATGAGCTTTCACATCTTCTTAACCTATCTTCTTAACCCGAAACGACTGAGGAGAGGAAATGTTCCTTTTTGAAGTACTCCTAGGAACAAATCCAGTGTAGACGGGGCGGGGCTTATAGCTCAGAGGAGTAGAGCACGTGGCTACGAACCACGGTGTCGGGGCTTCGATTCCCTCCTCGTCCACAACCGGCCATATATATATATATATATATATAATGGATTATTTAGGTTACTTTTGTATTATATTGAACTCAAATTTATTTTTAATTTTTTTTGCTTAAAAAAAATTTAAAGCTTAAATTGAATCTAATTTTTATCCTAAAGATACTAAGAAAACATGAAAATCAGCACATAATTTTAAGAAAATCATCTTACTCTTGTCCTAATATGAGATTGTAGGCCCAAAAAGGAAGGTGATGTCTTATCAACATAAACTCAATCAACGTGACTTGAGAAATTCCATGTTCAGTCGCTATTATTGAACCATCAAAATATCATAAGCAAATTATTAGTTTCTTATGATAATTAGAAAATTGCATAAGTCTTGGAGAAAATATTAAATTTGAAGTTGAAATGATTCTAAAATGCATGCATCATGAAGAAACACAATTAGATCCTATATGGAATTAATCAAAAGGACATTTATATGCATACCTCACATTTCTTATGTATTCACATATCTAATTTCTAAATATTTTTGTTATATGCATGTCACTAAAATCTTTAATATGCATCAAGCATATCACTAATATTTTTTTAAAATTTTATCGGATAGGTATGTTAAAAACCTTCTTCGGGTTGTTTTGCCTTTTCATTTTGTTTCTCTAAAAGGATAAAAAACCTTATTTTGATTATGTTTTTTCTAAGAATAAAAACTTTTGTTCTTCTACACAATAATTTTGCTCGCATGATTTACATAAAAAGCAATTTTAATGTACACCAAAAATAGCATCTAAAGATGAATAAAAGGAATGCCAAAAAAAAAAAGACTACGCACTTGGTCTAAGGAGACCAAGGGCACTCAGTTTAGAAGAACTTGCACCTTGAAGAAACAACCACTTGCTCGGTTCAAGGAATCATTCACTCAACTTGAGGCCACTCACCTAGCCTATGAGGATTAGCCTAACCTAGGAGTGTCCATCCTAGCTTGGGAATCATTCCGTTGGATCTCAAAAGACACTCGATTAAAATTATAATAGAAGCCCTATTGATCTCTCCCATTTGGATCAGGAGACCTTGTTAATCCCCTCATCAACCTCATCTATTAGGCAATAGAAACCTTTGAAAGCACTCGTCTAAACAACCGTTCCTGGGTACCCTCCTAGTTTTCAAATGCTATGCCAATGTGTCTATAATGATCCAATCATGTAGTTTTTAAATTTATTTCTCTTCTATAGTTTTTCACTGTAGCACAAAAAGCTTTTTTAACAAACTGTTAAATGGAGAATATAGAGACATCTACAATATTATGAGCCTTGATTTGTGGTAAATAGATTCCTTAAAACTTCTCGAAGTAGATTCTCTCTCTCTCTCTCTCTCTCTCTCTCTCCCCCCTTTTTGTCTATTACTTGCTTTAACCTCACAAATTTTGTTGATTAGATTTAAGTTGTATTTTCCATAAATAATATGGTTCTCATATCCTTCACATATTATATATGATTATGAATATTTACAAAAATATAAAAATTAGCATGACAACAAGCTAACAACCTAGCAAAGAAGCATTTTAAATCATGGAGAAACAACAATTCATGATCAATAAACATGGAGATGAAGGAGATAACCACTCATATGATCTAGCTTGATTTGGAGCGTGGTCCTTGTTAAGTCCCAAAGATGGTCGAAAGGATATTTAAACTCGATCACACAATGACAGTCCTCAAGCATTAGAGTGATAAACATCACACTTGCTTAAAAAAATTACTACCTTAATGATGATAAGTGAATCCAAAGCTACTTGAACAACTATAGGTTTTAGATCTTCCATGTCAAATATCTACTGCTTAAACCTCATAATAAAGTTATCAAGAAATTCCTAAATTCTTGTTTCATCTTCAAAAGCTCCTTTAAGTTCAATAGAGGCCTTTGAGAATATCATTTCAAAATTTGAGAAGAAAGTGAGCACTCCTTCAAAATTTATCAAAGTGGAAATGAATAATAAATTTTTTTTTAAAGTGTCACTGATATTAAGTAATGAAATGATTGTTCGAGTAGGGCACATGATTAGTTAGGTCTATCTCTTATTTGTTTCAAGAGATGATCATAATTAAGCTGTAGGTTGATTGTTTTAGCGACACCCAGAGTTTGCCATCGCTCCCAAATTGCGTGATTCACATAAATTGCGAAAGGAGGAATGAATCATTCAACCTCCTTGTATCAACCCAATTTTGACATTTCATGTTTCAAATACCTTCAACATCATATTTTTAGTTTGATTCCATTTGATTCATCTCGTATTGCCGCATTAAATTGACCATCATTTTGTTGAACTTGAAGCCTAAAAAAAGTACAAGTTATCCCAATCATTTGTTGACTTTTACTAATAATAACTTTTTATTTTTTGGAATTCAAAATATCGCAAGAATTTTAAGAAAATATAATACAAAGAATAAATTTACATTTATAAATGTATTATAAGTAGATTACACACATATAAAATATAAAAAGAGCTTTGAGAATAGCGAGAATTAATCTTAATTTTGAGGACTAATTCTTGGGTAATTTCATTAGAACTCTACAGTTGGAGTTATATTAGTATGTAGAAATCACTGTAGATCTATATATACCATTAGTTTATTCTAGAATAGTAAGTCTAATTATTGGAGTATAAAAATTCTTTTAAATATCAATTTTTGTAGTCATTCAATTTGTCATGATTTATTCATGTTAATTACTAGAAGTGTATCTAAACTAATATATGTAAAATATCTAAAATACTTTGTACAATCTTATTTAAGTAGTGACAGAAATATAATATCATCATATTATTCTCTCTCTCCTATAAATATGAAGATCATTTTATATATAAATGACGACTGATAAATCCAATTTTAATATAGAAAATTGAAAAATATCAACAAAATTGATACACTTTATTGTTCATTTACTATCTACTCTTCTTTCTATCTCAAATTTTTATGTTTTATTTCTTGTAGTATAATTCATGGATAAACAAGAATTTAACACATTATTTTGAGAATTCAAAATAGGTTGAAATCTTTGTTTTGCCTCATGATGCCGGGGGATAGTGTAGGAGATGAAGAGGGCTGAGGGCTGTAGCCCTTCAGCGCAGAAATATGGGAGAATCACTGGCGGCTAGGATTTCAGGAGAGACAAAGAGACGAAAAGGGGACGGGAAAAGAGAAACCCCCCAAAAATACTGCGCATTGTCAATCGATGCCTTGGCTTTCACTGGACCAAGTAGCCGATAGCGGATCAGTTTGTGTTCCTTGTTTTCCTTTTCGTGATGTGCATCGTCAGGGTGTCCGTCTTTTATCCCTGCTTGCTTACTAAAGATGGTGACTGTTGCTTTGCTCCCTTAGAATTAAGATTACGATAGAGTGGTATCTTTTCTTGTAATCAACGCTTGTTACTTATTTTAGACGGGAAGAAATGGTTATTGAATGCTGTAAATTTATTAGTTTTCCTTGGATAAAATTTTCAACCATATGTTTCTGATAAGGCCCAAAGAGTATTTCTTGACGTCCACTCGGATTCCAACTTACCTTTTCGGTTCTGTTTTCGAGGACCCGTGGCAAAAAAGCTGCGATTTTTTGACGTGAGTTTGGTTTATTCCTAATTCTATATTGTTTCCACCGTTAAACTGATTTCTTTGATGGCTTCTTTGACCTTTTCCGTGATGAAGGCTGTGAATTTGGATTTTTGTGCCTACAGTGCTTTTGCAGGTTCAGGTCTTGCTTCTTCTGGTTATAAATGATATTCTTTGAGATTTGATTGTCACAATAGTTGTGCTATAATTATCATAAGTTCTACAGCTCTCTGATTGTTATATGGCATCTGAAGCGATAATTTGCTTGTTTTTCTTACTGGCGTTGGCACTCTTGAGCCCTGTCCATGGAAAAGAATGCACAAATATTCCTACTCAATCTTCTTCTCACACTATTCGTTCTCAATTGAAGAAGGATAGCTGGGAGGGAGATTTACTTTCTCTTTATCAATCAGCTATTACTGATAAGTCCACATACATGGACTTGCTTCCTCGCAAACTTCTTGAAAGGGAGCCTATGGCAGAGAGCCTTGATTGGGGGATACTGTATCAAAGTATGCATTCAGATGGAATTAGTAAGCAGCAGCAGGGAGTGAATTTCCTCAATGAAGTTTCACTCCATGATGTTCGTTTGGATCCTGATTCTGTGCATTGGCAAGCGCAACAAACTAATCTGGAGTATTTGCTACTGTTGGATGTGGATCGGCTGGTTTGGAGCTTTAGAAAGCAGGCTGGTTTGGAAACTCATGGGACACCTTATGGAGGGTGGGAAGCACCTGATGTGGAGCTTAGAGGGCACTTTGTTGGTTAGTTTCTTTTCTTCACAATGACTTTCTTCTTTATTTTGATAATTGTTGATACAATCTTAACTTTCATTTCATTGTTTTAACTTCTATAATTTGTTTTCTTTATTTTATTTTTTTTTAGCAAGCTTTTTTTGAAGTCCTCTCGGTTGACTGTCTCATTCATTTATATTCGGGGAATTTACTTACATACCACCCAATTTCTATATATTGACATATCTGACACCTAAAATTTGTTTTTTTTTACATTCATACAAACAAAATCTTTCATATTCCATAAAAAATACCTCCATTTAAACTTCTAAAAGGTGAAATACACCTTTGCATGCATAGGTAGAGTGGTATGTATGTAAAAATTGAAGGGACATTTACATACATACCATCCAATTCCTATGTATTTACATATCTAACACCTAAGCTTTACTTTTTTACATTCATACCTCCCAAATCTTTCATATCACATAAAAAATGACACTATTTTAATTTTTGAAAGTGAAATATATATTTTCATGCTTAGGAAAAGTGGCATATATTTAAGAATTGATGTTTAGGTGTTAGGTATGTAAATATATAAGAATTAAGTGGTATGTATGTAAATCTTCCAAAATTGAAGTGTAGATATAAGATGTACACGCATAGGAATTTAGTGGTACGTATGTAAATTTATATTTTATCATGCTTGGCAAGGATAGGCAGATGGTCTGGTAACATTTTAATGTAACTAGATTAGTATATATACTCTGAAAGGGAGGCAGGAACATGGGGAGTTCATGGACAGTTTTACTGAGAAATTTCACGCATCTGCAAATTTATTTTGAATTGAAATAAACCTCATCAAAATACATTGCAGAAATTACCTATTTGCAGATGAGCTTGTGTGACTGCAATTCATATAATGAACATATAGCAAAATGATAGCAAATGCCACAAAGACCATTAATGAGTTAGAATTTTTAAGGAAACAAGAAGTCACATATATGTCAGCTTGTGTGACTGCAACTCTATCCTTTGGAGTTTTTTATTGCTATTTACATATATGTCAGCTCCTTGCCCCTTCAAGTCCCCTTGTGTTGCTATACATTTTTTTTTTGTTTTGATCCTTGCACATTTTCTTGATCACTACGGGCTTGTTTGGGCTTCGTTTATTAGTTCTAGATTTTAAGATTAAGAGTTGTGAAATAAAGAATACTAGGACTGATCATCGTAGAATTAGATGGAGAAACTTAAAAGACACAAATTTTTTTATGAGTAAAATTCAAGATTTCAAAATTTGAGATATTCATGGAGAAGCAAATGTTATGCGGGATAAATTAACAAACACTATTAAACAAGTAGCAAAATGTGTTTGGAGAATCAAAAGAAAAAAATTTTTATAAATAAAAATAGTTGGTGGTGAAATAATAATGTGCAAGAAAAGATAAAATATAAGAAGTTATGTTATAAAAAATTTTTTAAATGTAAAAGCTTAGAGAAATGAGAAAAATATCAAACAGCCCGCAAGGAGTCTAAAAGAACAATCTGTGACGCTTAAAATTATGTTTTTGATGATCTTTATAATAAATTAAATATTAAGGAGGGTGAAAAATATATGTATAAACTAACCAAACAAAGAGAAAAGAAAAATAAATATTTAATTCAAGTAAAGTGTATTAAAGACGAAAATCAAAAAGTTCTTTTCTTAGAAAAAAAATATTCAACATAGGTGGGCGAGTTACTTTGATAAAGTTTTTAATGAAGTTTCTAAAAATACGATCTACTTTAGTGATCTTAATATCGTGAATAATAATAAAACGTTTCATTTTTACCGTCGCATTAGTAAAAAAGAAGTTGAAGAGACTTTAAAGAAAATCAAGGGTGGAAAGTCTGTAGGACCTGATGATATCCCAATTGAAGTGTAGAAATATTTGGGAGATTTTGGAGTTTCTTTGCTTACCAAACTCTTTAATAGTATTTTAAAAACTAAAAAGATGTTTGAGGAGTGGAGGAAGAGTATTTTGGTCCCCATTTTTAAGAATAAAGGGGATGCACAA